AGTGAAAAGAACAATTTCCCCTCGTGGGATCAATAAAGTAAATCATCTTCTTCTTCAATCAGTCTGCTACTCATCTACACAGACCCTGTGGCCCCAGTTTGTGTTTTAAATCCTAAGGTGCATCGTTTCAGATCGACGTGCTGGAAGATCCTGTGATTCGTAATGTGATTATCCTTCAGACTGTGCTGCAGGAGGTACGCCACCGCAGCGCGCCGGTCTATAAACGCCTGAAGGACATTATACACGAGAAAGAGAAACACTTCTACACCTTTACCAACGAACACCACAGGTACAGAGACACCGCTCACTGATGGGATGCATTGGCCAGTTGCACATGAAGTTACTAATCATCTTCCCCCTTCGCACAAACAGAGAGACGTTCATTGAACGGGAACCGGGAGAGAGCGCCAATGACCGGAACGACCGTGCGATCCGTGTGGCGACGAAGTGGTACAGCCAGCACCTGAAGACGTCCGAGTCCGACGCAGAAGGGCTCAAAGTGGTCCTCCTCACCAATGACCAAGGGAACACGCAGAAGGCAGAGGAGAGCAGCCTGCTGGTGTACAAATGTATGTAGTCTATCTTCAGTGCCAGAGGCAGTACAGATCAGTTTAAAAAGCTCTGCATATGAAGAGCACTGCTCCCAAAAACATTGTTGTAAATGATCTCTGATTTAACCATAATCCATTGTTGAGCAAGTATGTGCCTACCCAGAGTTCCTCAATCAGTTCTCTTGGATACAAGCATGCTTTCAAACAGGATCGTCTGTCGTTACCACTTTGTTACAAGCATTCATTCGCTTACATTCTAGGTGAAGAGTACATCAAGAGTCTGATTGCAAACCCTGAGCTTGTGGATCGTCTGGCTTTATCCAGTGACGACAAGGTAAACCCAATTTTGTCCTATTTACATGTAGAAATAAAAGGTATTTCCGGATTTAGGTAAAGTGAGACTGTAGGAAGAATTTCTATCTGTATGTCCTGTTTACACCCCTGCCTTCCCAAACGCTACAGGACAACATTCTCTTTCTTTTCTTCTTCCATTGATTTGTTTTTCTTTCCTCCCTTCAGAATGAGATCACTAGCAGTAAGGTGTTATTCCCAGAGCACCTCCCTCTATCCAGGATCCAAGCAGGAATTAAGAGTGGCTCCTTCCTCCAGGGCTCCTTTAGGGCCAGCAGGGACAACTATCTGGAGGCCACAGTCTTTGTCCAGGGAGAGGGGGAGGACGGCACAGAGGTGTGTGTGTGTGTGT